CCTAATAGAAAATTCTCCTAGCTGAGTTATTTATGCCACATATCTATGCGGCACTCAATGACTGTTGCCTTATAGTCTGCGACTGTTGTCGGTTTAGGAGTCGAAGACCTTGTTCCCCTGAGAACACAGCAGAGCAGACCTGACCTAGGTGAATGGTAGGCGACATCCCAACCAGGTCACGACGCAACTTCTGATAACACCTCAGCCAGTCTGGTGTAGAAGCACCTTGCACTAGGTCTCATCCCGCCCGATGTTGTAAACACCAGAAGAGTGAAGGTGCCCTGGTCCACGTTCTAGATTCTCGCTAGATTAGCTCTGTTCTTATTGTTCCCGTTAATTCTATGTGTAGCCCCGAGAGACAGGTCGTGGTGACATCGAATAATATCCTGTCTAGGAACCTCGAGCACTGACGTCCACATGGGTTTCGTTCGTTGTGTTGGCAGTCCTGTGGATAAAACGCTCACCGTGGCAAAGTAAGGGACCTCACGGTTCCTTACTTTGTCGTGTCTCATGCAAACGAATCCTTCCTTTTCACACCATGGCATGGTCGATGTCATAGGATGTTCCACACATACATTGAGCGGGCATGCCTTCCACTGGCCAACCGTATACCTCAGAGTATTGGCGTCTGTAAATTCTTGTTTGTTGAGATGGAAGCCCTTTGCTCTTATCGGTATAGTTGTTAGCCATTTTGAGGCGCCCACCTCTTGTGCTATCTCTACTTTTGTCTTAATGATCTCTGGCAGTTGTTGCGTTAGTTTTTTTTAAGTTTTTCACTTTGGGTGTGCTGCCGTTCTGTAGTGATGGGACGTTGAATTTTATCACTTCGGCATTTTGAGGTACAATGTGCTCAGTGAGGGCTGCCGTCATGAGCTTGATAGAATTCTGATGTTCAGTGGCCGAAAGCTCCTCCACATCAGTGATTCCCATTCCTCCTATCTCGGTGGTAGTGCAATGAGGAGTCCGATGTCAGGGATAGTATGCATTAGCAATTCCGGTGAAGTTTGACTCTGTGGGTGAATGCTGCATATCCCACCTGTGGGTCAGTCTTAGTAATATCTGACAGAGCCCGGATTTCCTCGTTTACCTTTCCTGTTACGCACTCGGTCTTGAAATCATTCGTGCCCAGGTGTCTTTGGCCGTTTTTTGTTATTTTGACTTCACTTTCGTTGAACACTTATAGCCCGGTGAAAAATTCTGGGGTCACAATGAGGAAGTATTTTCTGGCATTTGTGGTTCCCTATTTGTTTGACCTCGGTTGTTTCATGATCTAATGTATCTTGGAGCATGTAGAGGCCTAATGCATACATTGCCATGACGACTAGGTCCCCGTGTTATTCCTTCGGTTGACTGAATGACAGTGTCTTCAACTGAGGCATTGAAGCTCATTACATAGAGGTCTGTCGGGTTCCTGTAAGTGTTTTCCACATGTTTTTCAAAACTTGGACACCTTATCCTGATGTTGTGCAGCGTAGCCTTGCGATTAAGTAAGATTAAACCATTGGAGGCGCCTACCAGGAGTGCCAGCTTCACTATCCTCTCTTTATGTATTTTTCTCATGGCGTGAATGGCAGCTTCACCCTCAGCCTGGTGGCCAGCACAGACTTGCAGGTTTCTGCTGCTGCCCTGACATCATTCTTGACCACCTCCAGTATACATTTTCCAATGATTCGTCTCAGCACTCCCCCCACACCTATAGGCCTACATCCTGGATTTTTGCCTAAGGGGATGAGGTGGGTGGCCGTTAGAGCTTGTAGGTGGTGGCAGCATGAGGTTGCCAGCTTTCTTGTATGGGCGACGATGGCATTGCTGAGGTCACTTGCTGTGACGCCAGACTTGTTACTAATGAGGGTGACTCTCCATCCATTGGCACCCTGAGCCTGATGGACGGGCTACTCCCTGTGTCTTCGGTACTTTTTTCCACAGTAAATCTTATATTTCTCTCAAACACAAGTACTTTTTTTTTACCCGACTCATTACAGAGGGGAGCAAACACCCAAGCCACTGGACCTCATCATAACTAACAAGGAGGGTACGGTGACCACGCTGGAACACAACCCCAGTTGGCACAAGTCACCATGTAACGTTGTCCTTCGGATTTAACTGTTACTTGGTTCACGAAAAAACCAAGCCAAGGTTAAAACACACAAGGGTAATTATAACAGGATGAGGGGTATCCACTGACCTGACTCACTAAGGCGTAAGAATGCAGACACTACACTGAATATCATAGCCAGTAAAGTGAACCATTTGATCGAGAAATACGAGGTCCGACACAAAAAAAAAAGAGACATACTGTAATTCTTAAGAAAATCAACTGTGATCGCCTTCAAAGGAGTTCCCTTCTGAGTTGACACACAGCTGCATACGATGCTGTCACAGTTCAAAGCAATTCCGCAGATCATGTTCTGTAAGGCTGTTGAGGAGCTCCGCTCGTTTTTACTTTCACCTCTTCTACCGACAAATAATTGGTTCCTTTGAGCACGGACTTGATCTTTGGGAAGAGGTAGAAGTCGCAGGGAGCCAAGTCTGGCGAATAAGGTGGGTGCTCAAGCACAGTGATGTTTTTATTGACTAAAAACTGGTTCATAGACAAAGCATTGTAGGCTGGCACGTTGTTCATCTAACAGCATTTTTGGAACCATTTTTACACAAACCTTTGTCATGCTCAATTCTTCCGTTAGAATGCGTCGAACACTTTCCCTGTCTAAATTAACTTTCTCAGCTATTGCTCGAACACCCAACCTACGGTTTTTTCTAATCACATCTCACACTTTTTCAATGTTGTCATCGGTAATTGCTGTGCCATTCAAAAACCCGTGCACGTGACATGCAATCTTCACCGTAAGCCTCATTCATTAATTGAAAAGTTTCCGTCAGGATTCCTGTTTAACGAGAAACTTGATGTTAACACGTTGCCTAGTTTTGCAGTCCGACATTTTCCGACCGAGCGTAATAACACGTCTATACTTCAGTACTCGTCCACTTGTACTGAGTGAAGCGATCGAGTTGAAGGAGAATAACAAAACGAAAAGATATACTCTAGCAGAAAAGCTTGTACTGTACTACTGCTACACTGGATAGGTTAATTCTTAATCTCCAATTTATAAATACCGGGTATTAAATATATTTATACTTTTCAAGTGTCAACATAACATTATTTTGGTGGTGACTGGCAACCCGCCAATCTGTCATCAGAATTGTCCAAGATTATTATTGAATCTGTTTACTTGGAGTGAAAAAATTTTATAATGAAAAATTAATCAATCCACTGGGTTATGGTATTTTCTGAACTGAAGGTACAGTAGACTGTGTGTGTTTTGAGCAGCAAATTGGTGACTACTTTTATATAATTATTCCAGTTCTTGAAGTTAATTTGTTCAAATCTTGATACAACCATTAAATTATACATCATCATCAGTGTCTTAGCAATCCCTTATTTACATTAATGCTACATTTTAAAGGAATTAAAATTTTGTTGATATAATTATTTGCGGTGGAAGTGGAGTTGTAGGGATAGTGGTGGTGGGGAGCCACAATGGGAGGGCGCTTCATTCAGCCGTTGCCCTGGTCACCATCAAGGCTGGTTACGGCCCTGAACCTGATGCCTTCCCTTCGCTTGCAGGAGGGTGTTTCTCCTTCAGAAGCTTCATGGTCTCTGTTTATTGGCAGCATCCCATCTGAGGCCCTCTGAGACATCTTACCGCCGAGGTCATTTTTTCAGGACACATCTTGTTGCCAAACTGCCTGGCCGCATCACCAAGCAATTTTTGAGAAGGCCTCTTTAACCCACCCTTCTGCCTCTATACTGTATATAACTATTACTACTACTGCTGTTACTACGAATAATATGGTATTAGTACTATTACTGTTACTACATAAATTAATAATAATAATAATAATAATAATAATAATAATAATAATAATAATAATAATAATAATAATAATAATAATAATAATAATAATAATAATAATAATACCTAAAGGAACAAAAATCTTCAGGAGGAAAATGAAGAACTATTATAATAGTTCTTGATTGCAGCATGGATGTAAATGAGAAGAAAGCCTGGCATGCCTTTAAGTCTATTATCTCCAATTTTCTTGGCAACTACAGAAGTCCAGAGTATGAACGAGTTGTTGAGGACCTACTTCTGAGCTACAAAGTTCTTGGTGCACGCATGTCCATCAAGATGTACCTCAGCCCCACTTGACTACTTTCCAGAGAACTGTGGTGATGTGAGTGAGGAACAAGGAGAACGCTTCCATCAAGATATCCGTGTAATGGAGGAGCGGTACCAGGGTCGCCGGATATCAACATGCTCGCCGACTACTGTTGGTGTCCGAAACGACGCCCCAGACACCAACCACCAAAAGAATTTTCTGCGACAGCCATTTATGCATGTCTAACTGTAAAAGGCATCTATGTAGTTGACATATTTTGGTCCTATGTGTTGTGGTTACATTTCTTATGATATATTTTGCATAAAAATTTTGACATCATATTTAAGAATTTCGATTTTTTCCTAATTCCCATAGCATAAAAATCTGACCTGATTGGGCAAAATGAATGGCATTTTTGGAATCAGCACGCAAAATACATAAAGAATCAGCTAAGAAACCCCGCACCTCAGTTTTTTTTTCAAATGCAGCCCAGTGTTATTTAAGTTTATCGTCTATCTAAGCAACAGATGCATTGACTGTCTAGATCAGTTTTCTATATTCTAAGTAGTTGTGGCTCTATCAAGTCTTCATGTATATAGTACTTATTCCTTCAACTGGCGGTGTATAAATGTATAACGGAAATTATTCAGTCGAGGAAGGGAGGAAGGAGGGAGGGAAAGTAATTGACAGAAATTGATTAGTGTTTTATGTTGAACGTCATGCAAATACACGACACCACTAGAGAGAGAGGAGTACCCACCTTCTTCAGACGGAGAAGCTTGAGGGTAGTGAGGTGCTTGGCCTTACGGATGGCATCACCGAGACAGACCAGGTCGGTTGTGCTCAGATACAAACACGGGTCATCCAGGGACAAGTTCTGCACGCTGGTCTCTGGTAACGCTGAGAAGAGCTTGTGAAACATAGACTGATGTTGCCCATTGATGCATAGAGGCAGTGGCAGGTGGGTCTTGCACTCTGTAGGGGGGGAAAACCTGGGGATTTAAGGAAGAATTGACATGGTGTTTTATAGGGGAGGGGGGCCAGGATTTAAGCAGGAACTGAAGTAGTGTTAACTAGGGGAACCTGAGGATTTAAAGATGAATTGAAATGATGTTTACGTTTCTAGTTATAAGTTGCTCTTTCCTTCTATAATTGAAGTAAACAAACAAAAACGCGAGGATATGGACTAGAACCACCTGATGATTAGGTACCACAGTTTATTTTTTCCAGGTGGTTAAATGGCATAAACTACCTAGAGGGGTTAGGAGATATTAGGTTAGGGTTAGTTATATTAGGTTAGGGTTAGGTTAGGTTAGGTTGAGTTAGGGGACCTGGAGAAAGTATTGGAGAGGGGAGTTGAGGTCGACTTTCTTTATCGATAGAGAGAGAAGGAAGTTAGAGAGAGGAGGGACGGGAGGGTGGGAGGGAGGGAGGGGAAGAGGAGGAGGGAAGGAGTGGAGGAAGGAAGGAGTGAGGAGGAGGAAGGAGTGAGGAAGGAAGGAGTGAGTGAGGAAGGAAGGAGTGAGTAAGGAAGGAAGGAGTAAGGGAAGGAAGGAGTGAGGAAGGAAGGAGTGAGTGAGGAAGGAAGGAGTGATGAAGCAGGAGTGAGCAGAAAAAGGAAAGGAGAAGGAAGGAAGGAGGGAGGAAAAGGATGGAGTGAGGAAGGAGGGAAGGAAGGAGGAGAGAGGGAAGGAAGGAGTGAAGGGAAAGGAATGAGTGAGGAAGGAAGGAGCTGATGAAGGAAGGAAGGAGTGAGGAAGAAGGAAGGAGTAAGGGAAGGAAGGAGGAGGGAAGGAAGGAAGGAGTGGGAGTGAAAGAAAGTAAGGAAAGAAGGGGGAGGAAGGAAGGAGGATGAAGGAAGGAAGGAAGGAAGGAGAGGAAGGAAGGAGTAAGGAAGGAAAGGAAGAAATGAGTGGGGAAGGAAGGAAGAAAGGATGGAGGGAAGGAAGGAATGAGTGATGAAGGAAGGAAGGAGGGAGTAAGGAAGGAAGGAGGGAGGAAGGAAGGACGGAGTGAGGAAGGAAGAGTGAGGGAAGGAAGAAGAGTGATGCGGGAAGGAAGGAGGAAGGAAAGGGATGACGAAGGAAGGAAGGAGGATGAAGGAAGGAAGGAGTGATGAAGGAAGGAAGGAGGAGGAGGAAGGAAGGAGGAGGGGATGGAAGGGAAGGAGTGAGGAAGAAGGAAGGGAGGGATGAAGGAAGGAAGGAGTAAGGAAGGAGCAAAGGAAGGAAGGAGGATGAAGGAAGGAAGGAAGGAAGGAAGGAAGGAAGGAAGGAGTGAGGAAAGAAGGAGTGAGGAAGGAAGAAGGAGTGATGAAGGGAAGGAAGGAGTGAGGAAGGAAGGAAGGAAAGTGATGAAGGAAGGAGTGAGGAAGGAAGGAATGAGTGATGAAGGAAGAAGGAGGGAGTAAGGAAGGAAGGAGTGAGGGAAGGAAGGAGGAGTGAGGAAGGAAGGAGGAGGAAGGAAGGAAGGAGTGATGCAGGAAGGAAGGAGTGACGAAGGAAGGAAGGAGGACGGAGGAAGGAAGGAGGATGAAGGAAGGAAGGAGTGATGAAGGAAGGAAGGAGGAGGATGGAAGGAAGGAGTGAGGAAGGAAGGAAGGAGTGATGAAGGAAGGAAGGGAGTAAGGAAGGAAGCAAGGAAGGAAGGAGGATGAAGGAAGGAAGGAGTGAGGAAGGAAGGAAGGAGGATGAAGGAAGGAAGGAGATGAAGGAAGGAAGGAGTAAGGAAGGAGCAAGGAAAGAAGGAGTACGAAGGAAGGAAGGAAGGAAGGAAGGAAGGAAGGAAGGAGTGAGGAAAGAAGGAGTGGAGGAAGGAAGGAAGGAGTGATGAAGGAAGGAAGGAGTGAGGAAGAAAGGAAGGAAGGAGTGGGGAAGGAAGGAAGGAAGGAGTAAGGAAGGAGTAAGGAAGGAAGGAAGGAGTGATAAAGGAAGGAAGGAGAGAGCCACATACCTGCAGTAATGTAGTAGTACCCCCTGGCCTTCAAGGAGTAGCGGGCGCCAGTGTGGAGGTGGTCCTGGAACAAGTACTGGAGCTCTCTGGTCGGGTCAACCATGGTGGCGGCTGGGTGCTGGCAGGTAGGCCTGGCCCCTGCGAGGTACACACACTGGTCAATAATTTTCACGGTCACCTCTATCTACTTGTTCATCTACCAGTATACAGTGTAGACATCTACCAGTGTAGACATCTACCAGTGTAGACATCTACCAGTGTAGACATCTACCAGTGTATGAATCTACCAGTGTAGACATCTACCAGTGTAGACATCTACCAGTGTAGACATCTACCAGTATATGAATCTACCAGTGTAGACATCTACCAGTGTAGACATCTACCAGTGTATACATTCCACCAGTGTAGACATCTACCAGTGTATACATCTACCAGCGTATGAATCTACCAGTGTAGACATCTACCAGCGTATAATTACCAGTGTAGACATCTACCAGTGTACATCTACCAGTGTATGAATCTACCAGTGTAGACATCTACCAGTGTAGACATCTGAGGCGTATAGACCTACCAGTGTAGACATCTACCAGTGTAGACATCTACACAGCGTATGAACCTACCAGTGTAGACATCTACCAGTGTAGACATCTACCAGTGTAGACATCTACCAGTGTAGACATCTACCAGTGTATGAATCTACCAGTGTAGACATCTACCAGTGTAGACATCTACCAGTGTAGACATCTACCAGTGTAGACATCTACCAGTGTAGACATCTACCAGTGTAGACATCTACCAGTGTAGACATCTACCAGTGTAGACATCTACCAGTGTAGACATCTACCAGTGTAGACATCTACCAGTGTAGACATCTACCGGTGTAAACATCACCGGTGTAGACATCTACCGGTGTAGACATCTACCAGCGTATAATCTACCAGTGTAACATCTACCAGTGTAGACATCTACCAGTGTGGCGAATCTACCAGTGTAGACATCTACCAGTGTAGACATCTACCAGTGTAGACATCTACCAGTGTAGACATCTACCAGTGTAGACATCTACCAGTGTAGACATCTACCAGTGTAGCAATCTACCAGTGTATACATCTACCAGTGTATACATCTACCATGTATACATCTACTGTGTATACATCTACCAGTGTAGACATCTACCAGCGTATGAATCTACCAGTGTAGACATCTACCAGTGTAGACATCCACCAGTGTAGACATTCACTGTGTATACATCTACCAGTGTAGACATCTACCAGCGTATTAGAATCTACCAGTGTAGACATCTACCAGTGTAACATCTACCAGTGTAGACATCTACCAGCGTATGAATTACCAGTGTAGACATCTACCAGTGTAGACATCTACCAGTGTAGACATCTACCGTGTATGCATCTACCAGTGTATACATCTACCAGTGTATACATCTACCAGTGTACATCTACCAGTGTATAGATCTACCAGTGTACAACATCTACCAGTGTACACATCTACCAGTGTATACATCTACCAGTGTAGCATCTACCAGTGTGAGGCTACCTATCAGTGTATACATCTACCAGTGTATGCATCTACCAGTGTAGACATCTACCAGTGTATACATCTACCAGTGTATACATCTACCAGTGTATCATCTACCAGTGTATACATCTCCCAGTGTATACATCTACCAGTGTATACATCTACCAGTGTATGCATCTACCAGTGTATACATCTACCAGTGTATACATCTACCAGTGTATACATCTACCAGTGTATACCTACCAGTGTATACATCTACCAGTGTATACATCTACCAGTATGCATGCATCCCTGCAGATACCACAGTGCAGACATCTACCAGTGTATACATTCACCTGTGTAGACATCTACCTGTAGATACTCCACCGTGGTATGACCTACCAGTGTATACATCTACCAGTGTAGACATCTACCATGTAGAACATCCACCCGTGTAGACATCTACCAGTGTAGACATCTAAAGGTGTAGACATCTACCAGTGTATAACATCTACCAGTATACAATCTACCAGTCTGCATCTACCAGTGTAGCATCTACCAGTGTAGACATCTACCAGTGTAGACATCTACCAGTGTATACATCTACCAGTGTATACATCTACCAGTGTATACATCTACCAGTGTATACATCTACCAGTTTGCATCTACCATGTATACATCTACCAGTCTGCATCTACCAGTGACATCTACCAGTGTAGACATCTACCAGTGTAGATCACCAGTGTAGACATCTACCAGTGTAGACATCTACCAGTGTATAGATATCTACCAGTGTATACATCTACCAGTGTATACATCTACCGGAGTATACATCTAAGTGTATACATCTACCAGTGTATACATCTACCAGTGTATACATCTACCAGTATACATCTACCAGTGTATACATCTACCAGTGTATACATCTACCAGTGTATACATCTACCAGTGTATACTCAGTGTATACATCTACTGTAGACATCTCCAGGTGTAACATCTACCAGTGTATACATCTACCAGTGTATACATCTACCAGTGTATACATCTACCGTGTATACATCTACCAGTGTATACATCTACCAGTGTATGGCATCTACCAGTGTATACATCTACCAGTGTATACATCTACCAGTGTATACATCTACCAGTGTGAGACATCTACCAGTGTATACATCTACCAGTCTGCATCTACCAGTAGACATTCCACCAGTGTAGACATCTACCAGTGTAGACATTCACTGTGTCTATGCATCTACCAGTGTATACATCTACCAGTGTATACATCTACCAGCATGTATACACTACCAGTGTAGACATCTACCAGTATACATCTACCAGTCTATGCATCTACCAGTGTGGTATACATCTACCAGTGTATACATCTACCAGTGTATACATCTACCAGTTCTCGTATCTACCAGTGTAGACATCTACCAGTCTATACATCTACCAGTGTATATACCTAATAGTTCAGTGACATCTACCAGTGTATACATCTACCAGTGTATACATCTACCAGTGTATACATCTACCAGTGTATATCTACCAGTGTATACATCTACCAGTGTATACATCTACCAGTGTATACATCTACCAGTGTATACATCTACCAGTGTATACATCTACCAGTGTATACATCTACCAAGCCATCTACCAGTGTATACATCTACCAGTGTATACATCTACCAGTGTATGCATACATCTACCAGTGTATACATCTACCAGTGTATACATCTACCAGTGCGTATACATTCCTTCAGTGTATACATCTACCAGTCTGCATCTACCAGTGTATACATCTACCAGTGTATACATCTACCAAGTTCGTATCTACCAGTGTATACATCTACCAGTAATCTACTGCGATCTACCAGTGTATACATCTACCAGTGTATACATCTACCAGTCTGCATCTACCAGTGTATACATCTACCAGTGTATACATCTACCAGTCTGCATCTACCAGTGTATACATCTACCAGTGTATACATCTACCAAGTCTGCATCTACCAGTGTATACATCGTAACTACCAGTCTGCATCTACCAGTGTATACACCTGTACCCGCATCTACCAGTCGTGTACATCTACCAGTGTAGCATCTACCAGTGTATAGACATCTACCAGTGTATATCTACCTCTGAATGTATACATCTACCAGTGTATACATCTACCAGTGTATACATCTACCAGTCTGCATCTACCAGTGTATACATCTACCAGTGTATACATCTACCAGTGTATACATCTACCCAGTGTATACATCTACCAGTATACATCTACCAGTGTATACACTACCAGTGTATACATCTACTAGTATACATCTACCAGTCTGCATCTACCAGTGTATACATCTACCAGTGTATACATCTACCAGTGTATACATCTACCAGTGTATACATCTACCAGTGTATACATCTACCAGTCTGCATCTACCAGTGTATACATCCACCAGTGTAGCATCCACCAGTGTATCATCTACCAGTGTATACATCTACCAGTGTATACATCTACCAGTGTATACATCTACCAGTGTATACATCTACCAGTGTATACATCTACCAGTCTATGCATCTAGCAGTGTATACATCTACCAGTGTATACATCTACCAGTGTATACATCTACCAGTCTGCATCTACCAGTGTATACATCTACCAGTGTATACATCTACCAGTGTATACATCTACCAGTGTATACATCTACCAGTGTATACATCTACCAGTCTGCATCTACCAGTGTATACATCTACCAGTGTATACATCTACCAGAGTATACATCTACCAGTCTATGCATCTACCAGTGTAGACGTCTACCAGTGTATACATCTACCAGTGTAGACGTCTACCAGTGTAGACGTCTACCAGTGTATACATCTACCAGTCTGCATCTACCAGTGTATACATCTACCAGTGTATACATCTACCAGTGTAGACATCTACCAGTGTATACATCTACCAGTGTATACATCTACCAGTGTAGACATCTACCAGTGTATACATCTACCAGTGTATAAGATCTACCAGTGTATACATCTACCAGTATACAGAAGTTCATACATCTACCAGTGTATACATCTACCAGTGTAGACATCTACCAGTGTATACATCTACCAGTGTAGACATCTACCAGTGTATACATCTACCAGTGTATACATCTACCAGTGTAGACATCTACCAGTGTATACATCTACCAGTGTAGACATCTACCAGTGTATACATCTACCAGTGTATACATCTACCAGTGTATACATCTACCAGTGTATACATCTATCAGTGTATACATCTACCAGTGTATCAGACCCAAAATACTCACCTGTCTATCTCTCTTATCTATTTATCTGTCTTTGTTTGCCTAATTGACTCTCGACCTTGGTAACTCAGGTAAGTTAAGGTAAAAGAAATAGTGTTCTAATTTTGGTGTCACTTAGGTCTACCATCAGTAAAGGTAGACGACGTGGGTCAAGGTCACACTTGGAGTACCACCTCGTGTGTCTGACCTCAGTGTTAAACTCACGAGGAACTTAACCTAATTCATAATTGTTGATAAAACGATTCAGTTTATAAAAAAAAAACAATAGTACTGATAACACTATTAACTACTACTATTGACACTGGTACTAATAT